ACTTCTTTGTTCTTTGAGAGACTTTTGGGAAATAAATCATGAAATATCACAATCTTTACAAGCAGAATTACTCAAAAGAAAAACTCAAAAATTAAAATTAGTTGTAATTTTTTGTATTAATTTGGGAAAATAGGAAATCTATACGTAAAATGCATCGCGCAATATTTTTTACGAGAATATTGCTAGCAAACATCCAGTCATGTTCACATGTCAATTTTAACGATGCGCGTGCGAAAATTTCAAAGCGATGAAAACTTACTCCACGATGTACTTTTCAGGTTCTCAAAGTAGTCGAAAGTCAATATACCGTAAATACCGATGGCATACAACACAAACATCAGTACGGCGAGAGACCATATGACTTCGGTTTCAAGTTCAAAGAGACCTGGTTTTCTCGTTAGGGGCACTTTGTCGACGGTATCACTGGCGGTGTCGATCGAATTCCTGTGCGCGACATTTTTCGTGTACACTTCCATGTTGCTGCAACATTGAAAACTTGAGACGCTGCTGATTATTTTGTCGTGAGCGCGCGCGCGTGGTTCCTTTACATATTAGATTTGTAGTTTTTTACGAGAAAAAAATTATCTGTCAGTAAAGCGCATGAAAGTTTCTATATTTGTATAAAGAGATCCATTTGCGTCTAATTTATTATCTTTTGATTTAATTAACTTCTGGATTATATTATATGAGGAATTAGACGTAAAGTTGATGATTAATATTTTATATATTAATTATTAATATTATATATATTAATAAAATTATACATATTAATAATTTGATATAAATATTAAAATTACATATGAGATCAAATTAATCGTGCACGAGACAGTAGTCATGCACTCAATTCAGACAAAAGTCGTGCAGCTCTTCCCTAAGAGCCAAGACATAAAAAATGAAAAGAGTTTTACACGGCTCTGACGATTTTAATAATCGTACGACTTCCCAAACTACGGAATTATGAAATTGAACGGCATTTCGGAAACGACAACCTAGTAAATCAATTATCAGTAATCAAAAGCAAAACAGTAATCAATATGTAATCAATCGGCAATATCCATAATAATCTTATATCAGTTATTATTTTCAACTCAACAATAAGAATGCATGCATATATGTTGTATAGAAAATTATAACATTAATGTAATGTTACTGTTTATCGGAAAGTCGTTCGAATCCGGAAGCCTCGGATGTAAATGTCAGTTACATTTCCTTCCCGAGTACGCCATCACAAGTAAAGAAAGAAGAATCTGACAATTAAATTAAACATACTAGCGATATCTTACTAATAAATTACTTTGTAATGCCGCGGCGAATGAAAGTCACTTAGAGATTTATTATTTGACTCGACTTCGTCGAGGATAAAACTGAATTTTTGCGAATGAAACATTACAGTGCACGCTGCTTGTTCGTGCCTAAAATGATCGAATGATACGTGAACGACTGACATAAATGGTACCAACGTCGTCCACTTCTACTTGAGATACGGTGACTTCAGTGGGATCGAAATGAACTGGAATCACAAAGATTATATTATATGAAAGCAAAAAAGTTGTGATGATTAAGCAAGAACGTAAAAAGTCGCGCAACACTAGCAGATCGAAATAGAATGGAACGCAATATATATCATTATTTCACAAGACATCACAAGAAATATTGTCACCCGAAACTACAAAAGTGAATGTTCCACTCAAGGTTAAAATGAATTTTTATTCTATATGAAAGAATGTCTCAATTAGTTAGAGTGAAATAATCCTATAACGGTGGAATGCATTAGATACACACTTTAATTTTTAGAGTAAGTATTCACTGAACCATTCGAACATTTATTCTATAGGAGTGAAAAATCATTTGAATTCGAGCGACTTGGCTGTCATTCTACTTTTCAAGCCAAATTTTATTCTAACATTTTAGAATGTAATTAGTGCAAATATAGATAAATGCAAGAATTAAATAGAGTCGGTGCTTCTTTTGTAATACAAATAAATTTTCACTTGCTTATTAATATAAATATTAATTTATTTATAAAAATCTTTAATAATATAAACAAAATCATATATATATATATATATATATATATATATATATATATATATATATATATAT